TGTCAGTCTGTCTGTTACCACGTTTTCTGCCACCGCGCGCACGAAATCAGGTAAATAGCGATATGATCGGGTTCAGTGCTACACTGGGTTGATTTTAAAAAAGGCGATTTTCGTAAAACTACTGTGTTTTAAAGTTATGGCGTGAAAACCAAGTGAACAAGCCAATATGTAAATTAGCACAGGCTTACCTCGGCCGCGTCCGTTCACTCTGTGGGCACAACAAGTCACAACGAAGGGCATGTATCGACTCCCGCATGCTATTTACTACTGTAGCTAGCCCGTGCCAGACTCTCCGCGAGCTACTAGCGGGATACCACATAAAAAGCCCAGCCCATCAATTAGTGGTACCGCACATGCGCAGTTCGCCGAGGGTTTGCACTTTGAGAGAAGGTAGCTCTGTCATAAAAATATACAAGTAACAGTATTTCTTCTAAATGAAAGGATATGCATGGCTTGAAACACCCGCCCGCAATGCTGCACTCTTCATGCACGACATGAAAACGCCCAGGATGGTTCCATTACTTTTGTGTGTCTTAGGTTGTTCCTTCCTTTTTCATGTCTTCAACCATTCCTAAAATTATCCCCCCTCGGTTTGTTCCACTTGTTTTATGAAGAGCTCTGAGTAAGCAGCATTTACTTCATGTATATATCTCATCCCTACCTTCTATCCCTTTTTATATAATATACCTTCCCTATACAAATTTGCGGGATTTTTAATATAATTGTACATACTATGTACTGCCGTTCCGCTCTCTGGACCGAGCAGGCAGCGGGCCATGCAATCAATAGCAGGGGTGTAGATAACTACAAGCAAATCTTCAATGGACACATTTTTGGCATAGATAACAGAATCAAGTGATTTACTTAGCTACTGTATATTCCTCCAAGAATGCTTCAGAATCAACCTCAGGGTGCAATTTTTTTCCAGGGGAGCATAGCATCTTCCCCATAATAATATATGTAAAAACCCCTCATCGATTTCAGACAAAAACCTGCTGCATCTTCAAGACTTGAAGAAGACAACAAAAGCAGTCTTGTGAACTGGGCTCTAGTATCAGAGCGTCGGTAGACGCTCTATATAGGGATGACACGAGTGAAATCTCACGTGATCCGCGTATATACAAAACCCATCAAAACTCAGCGACAATGACTCACCATGGCTTCAAAATCACTAGCAGTAGTCTAGAGGCCAATACCTAGCTATACATATGCCTCAAGACTTCCTACGTGCCCTCAGTTCCCCACGAGAGAATTCGCACTTACGCGATTTCGCGAATTTCGTGTCATCATAATTATCATATTCTTCTTCTTCTTCCTTACCGGAAGCAGTTGAAGCGTTGATTTTTTCACAGAACGTCTCCAAATTTGCGGGAGGTGTGCACGCATATCAGGCGATCGCTTGTTTCTTGCCGCAAGTCACTACGGTAGATCGTAGAGCTCTTCCACGGTAGTCACCATTTGCTGCTAACTCAGCATCAGTGAGCCGCATGCACCGAGGAGGGCGTTTCCCCAATGCGTGAATGCGGTGCGGGCGCATTACTATATCTCGTGGGTCTACGAGACTAAGCCAGGATGCCTGCAGAGGAACTCAGTGCCTTCTGTAAGTCAGTATACACATTTTTAACTGATTAGCCTACGTTTTGCTGATGATTATCAATCAATCATCATTGCACGGACCCACTAGGGCATGGCAGGTATATACATACATACACAAGACGGACAAAACGTGTAGGGAGCGAAATCTAGCTGTACAATACAGAACTAGCACTGTCCCCAGTCGATGTGTTGTAGAATTCACTGTGCACCATCATTGGTGGTAGTTGAAGTCGCATAAGACAGAATGTGTACGGACACTTTATTAGAGGCACGAGTGACCACACCCACTCCCACCACCACTCCACGGCAGATCATGAGCCACAGAATACCAGCTGTCGGCAATCAGCCCCAAAGAGGCTACCCTTCTCACCATGGGAGTAGAACAAGTACGACCCATGGATTGCGACCGCTGGATATTTGACTTGCCTCCCACGTGGACAGATCTAGCAGCTGAAAAACGGGAGCACACCACCGGGCACGAGGGCAGGGGGGAGGAGATGAGGTCGAGCCTCAGTCGATGTCGTTTGTACAGACCCACACAAACATGGACTAAACACCAAAACGCTTTGGTATTGACCAGAGCCGAGGAGAACGTTTAGAACGCCATGAGAGACCGACGTCCAACCGTCATCGTCCATACGCATGGTGGGGTGGTATCGCAGCGAGGGTGACGGTAGTTGGTTTGTCTGTCTGTCTGTCTGTCTGTCTGTCTGTGTGTGTGTCGACGCTTATTCTGGCACTACAGGCTACGAGGCGGCCCATTAGCGATACCAGCGGATTCAGAACTACGGGAGCCTGAAAAATTATTAGGCGATTTTCCTGAAACGACTTCGTTCAAGAGATATGCCGTGAAAACAAGCGAAAAAGCCAAATCGCACTGGCTTACCGCGTACCTTGGGGGCTCAGGAAGTCACAACGAATGGCATGTATCGACTCCCGCATGCTATCTACTACTGTAGCTAGCCCGTGTCTGACTCTCCGCGGGCTACTAGCTGAAGACCACGAGTAAACTCATACTAAATAGCCGGCCCAGCCCATCAATTTGCAGTATCGCGCATGCGCAGTTCGCCGAGGGTTTGCACTTTAGTGCTTTTCATTTGTACGAGTAACTTGGCAGTGTGCGCCTTGTTACGCGGGCCTTGCCCAGCGCCTTCATTGTTTGTCCCCCAGGTTATAGCTATCATTGTAGTCTGATTACTGAAGCCTGCCTACGATACCACCCCACCATATGTGCCACAACCTAATCGCATCGTTGTTGGAGACACTACGCATACACCCTGCTTCAGGTACATTAGCTTCTGCTTTCAACAGTTATCTCTACAACACCCATGAACATCAGAGTGACTGAAAAAATGCAGAAGGCATGAAAAATAGTGGAAACGAGTGGAAAAATCATTTCTTCAAAATGAAGGGGTGATATAGGGATGGCTTGAAGCACCAAAAAGGAAGAGGTAAGGGACAGCAAGGATGCACAAAGCTACATGACACCATCCCTATATTCTTTGTTTAATATCAAACAAAGATATAGGGATGGTGTCATGTAGCTTGGTGCATATTTGGTGTGTAATGACCCCTTGTTTCTTCCTTTTTGGTGCTTCAAGCCATCCCTATATCCCCCTTCATTTTGAAGAAATGATTTTTCCACTTGTAATTATATTGCTTTGCTAGTCACAATTAACAGTGGCAAAAATGTCCTTTTGTTTATACAAGTGGAAATTTCTTCAAAATGAAAGGGGGATATAGGGATCTCAGGGACGTTAAGGCGCGTCCCGAAATAATTCTACGCGCACTTTACGCACAACGTTACGTATACCGTAATACTCTAATTTTGCGTATGTAGGTAGAAATTTTAAAACGTAATGCGCGCGCGCCGGCGCTTACACGTATGTACGTGTGTGTGGGGGTCGATCGATCGGGTGTGAGCGCACAACGTCGAGAGTTAACGGACCTGTGTACATGTACCTAAAACTATGCCTAATGTTTTTCTAGTGTTATGAATATAGAAAAAGCGCAGACTGACGCATCTCTAGTTCTGTCATGTCAGCTGGTTGAGTTTTACCGCCGCGCGCATGGCTGGAGGGCGCATGCGCACAATGTTCTCACCTTTGACCTCAGATTCGTTCTAGAGACGCAGCAATCGCGCTGTACGATTAACTAAAACCGGGCAGCGGTAAGTGGAGAGCAGTGAAGGAGCTATAGCTCTGCCTTCGTAAGACAGCTGACGGATAGCTCTTTCACCTACTCGGATTGGAACGGTCGGCTCTTACGTTTAGCGGAGGTATGAGTCATTTGCCACGCCATAATTGTAGCCGGTAACCTGAAAGCCATCATAAGACGGCTACGGGAAGGTTTCGTAAGTTCCCATTCAAAACATAATGACTTCGCTACTTGTTTTACTGTTTGACGTAAGTGAAATATTCCTTCGTTGGCTAGTTCCTTACCGTTGCTAGTCTAAACAAATGACGTAAAATACGGACGGTACACGCCCACTATGGATCACGTGACTTTGTTTGTGGGTGTGGTCGATGTTTGTTGTTGTTTACAAACACTTGTTCAGGTTTGATGTGTGTAACCCCTTTAGTTTTGGAGATACAGCATTTGGGTGTTTCCAGTGCTGGGACGTGCCTTAATGCCCCTGAGATGGCTTGAAGCACCCAAAAGGAAGAAACAAGGGGTCATTAGCTACACACCAAATATGCACAAAGCCACATGACACCATCCATCTTTGTCTCATATTAAACTTTGCTTATGAACAATAAAACAAACATATAGGGGGGGGACTCTGATGTTCATGGGTATGTTGTAGAGATAATTGAGCAGAAGCTAATGGACTGCTCTTACCTAAAGCAGGGTGTAATGCGTAGTGTCTCCAACAAGGACGCGATTAGGTTGTGGCACATATGGTGGTGGTTTCATGGGGCAGGCTTCAGAAATCAGACTACACTGATAGGTAGCTATAACCTGGAGGACAAAGAATGAAGGCGCCTGGCAAGGCACGCGTAACATGGCGCAGATTGCCAAGTTGCTCCTCGTGCAAATCAGCAGCAAAACGCAAGCTAGCCACTCACAAACTGTACACTGTCTTACAGAAGGCACTGGAGGATGAGAGTAGTTTTCTCTGCAGGCATCCAGTCCTGGCTTGGTGGACCAGGTTTACGAGACAAAATGCGCGCGCACCGCATTGGAAACGCCCTCCTCGGCGCATGCGGCTCGCTGATGCTGAGTTAGCAGCAAATGGCGGACTACCGAGGAAGAGCCCAACGATCTTCCGTAGTGACTTGCGGCAAGAAACAAACGATCGCTTGATATGCGTGCACACCTCCGGCAAATTCGAAGACGTTCTGTGAAAAAGCAATGCTTCAAGTGCTTCCGGTAAGGAGCTAGCGGGTCTGAAGAAGAAGATGATGATGACACGTAAATCGTGAAATCGCGTATGAGCGAATTCTCGCGTGGACGACTGAAGGTGCGTATGCGGTCTTGGGGTACATGTATAGGTAGATATGGGCCCGTAGACTATTGCTAGTAAGTTTTGAAGGCCTAGGGAGTGATTCTCACCAATTTTTTTTTCCGTTTTGTGCGCGGATCACGTGAGATTTCACCCGCGTCATCCCTATAATATAGAGAGTCTACCGACTCTCTAATATTACCTACAAACATACCCAAGCTGTCACAGGGGTAAATGCACTTCAAATTTGTACATAGCTATTATGCATGATCTGTTTGGGTCAGCAACTTAGACAAAACTGTTTACTTTATGGTCAAACTTCTACAGGTTTTAATGTTATGCTATTCTTGTTTGTGGAGACTCATCAACCAAAAAATCTAAAAACAGATTTTTGAACTTGTTAGCTACACATAAAAATGGTTGCTGCTTTTATGTTACAACTGTACAGTGCAACCGAGAGGTAGCCCTGGATGCTTTTTACAAGCAAATGAAGTACCTGCCTACCAAGATTGGATGGGTGGCATCAGGCTGCTCACTTGCAACACAGGCAATTGCCGAACTGACACATTTTTACAACATCACTCAGGTGAAAGTGACTCTTAGGTGGTTGTATAATATTTTTATACCAGCTGATTTTTTCCTACCAAAGTTATCGTGTATTAGTTCATCACCGGCACTACGAAATCGTATGAGATACAGGTAATGAGACATTTAATTTAGTTAACTAGCTATATATGATTGCTGTAAAGGTTTAAGAACCAATGTGTGAAAGCGTCATTACTAATAAATGTTTAGATATCAAGTAAATAAGTGGCTGCAGCGCTGCACAACCCGTTTATCTTTTGTTATCCTTTTTCACGTAGCTCACTTTCCTTGACCAGATTAGCTGGGGATCGAAATGTGCACAGTAAGGTTTGATGGTATTAGCTCTTCTACACACAAGCATACTCATTAACCCTCGGCGCGCATGCGCAGCGAGGGTTACTGTAGTTGGTTTGTGTGTGTGTCCGCGACTATTCTCGCACTACAGGCTACGAGGCGGCCTAAGAGCGATACCAAACGCTTCAGTGCTACGCTTCAGTGCTGAAACGACTGCGTTCGAGAGCGACAAACTGGCACGGTCGCGGACCGGCCCAACCCATCATTAAGCGGTGCGCATGCGTATAGACGCGGTACCTCGACCTGATCCGCTTGCTCTGTGTATATACCTTGGAGGCACAATAAACCACAGCGAAGGGCGTGTATCGACTCCCGCATGCTATCTACTACCGTAGCTAGCCCGTGTCAGATTCTCCGCGAGCTACTAGCGGGAGACCGCGAGTAAACGCCAATAGGGCTAGCCAAGCCCATCCATTAGCGATACCGCTCATGCGCATTTCGCCGAGGGTTTGCACTTTAGTGCTTTTCATTTTCTTTTTTTTCGAAGACTTTGATGTTTCTTGAGGCGTAACTGAGGGATTATGTAGCCTGTTGAAGTGAACTAACCCACAATAATCCCAATGGAAATGGAGAGGAACCATTGCTCTCACCCACAGCTACCAATTAACGAAGCGCCTATTGAGCCGCTTTCTCGATTTACTGGTAGCTAATGTGGTGTGTGCGTGGAGGTTCTCGCTGCATATTTTGCTGGTGCCAACTTTTGTCATAGTAGTACCTGTTTAGGTATATACCATGTTTCATCATTATTAGAGGACACACACAAACAATTTCTTAATATCTGAGACTTTGTTATTTGGCAGTTTGTTTACATGCCGTTCAGTGAGCTCCTCTCTTAGTTTTTCAGTGTATATACAAAGTTTAGTTGCTAGTAAGAGCAAGTTTCAGGCACAGCCTCATTAATTATTCACAGGTTGTATTGCGTGAGGAAGTTAGTTTGTGTCAACAAACTTGTAATAATTATTGGTGTCCACGAACTCTTATCATACAACATACATGTGCAAAGATTCTTGGTTAGAAAACCCAGCATAAGCTAAGCTATGGGTACAAAACGAATGTTTTTGCCTAACACTGCTTGTTGTGTTGGATAGCTACATGGGGCTGTCAGATTCCATTGTGCAAAAATTATCTGTTTTTGACAAGCCACGTGAGCCTACCTAGTCATCTGAATGACGTACATAAAGTAACGGCAAACAGTTAAATTTGTATTGCATATTCCGCATGGCTTAGAGTGTCGGTAGATGTTCTATAATATAGGGATGGCACGGGTGAAATCTCACGTGATCCGCATACAAAACGACTAGCTACAAACTCGGTGAGCAAAACACACTAGCAATAGTCTAAGGACCCTTGTCCCCCAGGTTGTAGCCTATTACAGAAGCCTGCCCATCAAACCACATCCATGTGCCATAACCTAATTATATCCTTGTTTAAACCTAAACATGAGGTGAATGCGGTATCTAACCCCTGCTTCAGGCACTAGCAGCCCATTATCTACTGCTTTCGAGTTTGTCTACGGTAGCCTATCTACAACATACCCATGAACATCAGAGTGACTGTAACAATAAAATCAGTGTTGTCATAAGCTGAAATAGTGGAAACAAGTGGAAAAATCATTTCTTCAAAATGAAGAGGGATATAGGGATGGCTTGAAGCACCAAAAAGGAAGAAACAAGGGGTCATTACACAGCAAAGTTGACATGACACCATCCCTATATCTTTGTTTTTTTATTGTTTTTATATCGAACAAAGATATAGCTAGGGATGGTGTCATGTAGCTTTGTGCAACTTTGCTGCGTAATGACCCCTTGTTTCTTCCTTTTTGTTGCTTCAAGCCATCCCTATATCCCCCTTCATTTTGAAGAAATGATTTTTCCACTTGTATATAAAATCACGTAAAACATTGCAGTATGTGCAGAATGTATGTGACAGGCATTGCACGGGCACTGGACATCTACTGTAATTTACATACTAAAATGTGATTCTAAATGTGTCCAAACACGGAAACTATAGAATTGTTTGCGCTCAATATCCAAAAATGTGTGGAATTCATTCTAGTATCTTTCTTGAAACTAAACACCCACAACTAGAGATTATAATTAAGCAATTTTGTAGGTTATTGGATAGTTTGGTAACACGGATCGGACCTGACACCTTTGTCAGAAGTTTGAACTAATGAAAGTCTAATTACAATGTATGGGCATTAATGACGGATAACCTCTGTTATCCTATTTTACATAGTACTACTGTACAAATTGATAACGGTACCAGTGAATGCTGTCTATTAAACAGGTATTACTTTCAGCTGTTGGCATCAAATGTGCTAGTAGTTCATGGATTCTTTGGAATGATAAAATATTTTGGATGGAAGAGAGTCCGCCTAATAGCTCAAGATGAAGAAATATATGCAAGTGTGAGTAAGATAATTATTATGATGTATTGATTATTTTTCATGCGATAGACAAGTGCTGATTTTTAGATATGAAACGGAACTTATATATACTTGAGACACTGTTATGAGTAATAATGACTGCTTTTTAGTGAATTCACGCCAAAAGAAAGAGGGGTGGAATGAAGGAGTGTCTGTTGCATGATGATAGAGTTAAAATGTATGTGAGTCATTATTTTTTTAATGTTCTCCAGCAAAGTAGTATATGTTAACTTGTAGAAAGAGCATGAATATCAGTTATGCTATCTCTAGTCACTTCATAAAAGCCTGTAAATTTTCAGACAATGGATGCCTTAAAGGAGATGTTGGAGGACTATACTAATGTTGAATATTCTGAAGTACGTTTCGGAAGCAATCAAGGCTTCAGCAGCATAACTGCTTTTGTAAGTTGTGAGCAATTTGTTTAGCATGACACCAGTTTGTTTTCTCTGTTACCATTTCGCTGTGAATGACAAAAAGACTTTGCCTAAGCAAATCACATTGAGTATAAAAAAGGTGGAGTCAAAATCAAATGCATGTCTTCCAAGGAGATACTCCAGGGGCTATTTCATGTGCACTGACTGCCAAACACCATAGTTAGAGCGTCGGTGGAAGCCCTATATAGGGATAGCACAGGTGAAATCTCACGCAGTCCACACACAAATAGCCACAACTCGGCGAGAATGACTTGCTATGTCTTCAATCACAACCGCAACAGTCTACGGGCCCATATCTAGCTATACATGCCCCAAGACTTTATACGGGCCCTCAGTTCAAAATGCGAGAATTCGCTCATACGCTATTTCACGATATTCGTTTATTCATCATCATTATCTTCTTCTTTAGTAAACCTGCTACCTCCTAACGAGAAAGAACCAGTTGAAGCGCATATTTTTTCACTAAACATCTTCAGATTCAACAGAGCTGTGCATGGCCCCCAAGCGATCATTTCTGCCCCGTCGCAAGTCACTACAGTAGATCGTGGAGCTCTGCCATGTTGATAGAAAAATGGTGGAACAGTGAAAGTGGATATAGGGATGGGTTGAAGCACAAAAAAAAGAAGAAACAAGGGGTTATTACACAGCAAAGATACACTAAGCTATAGGACACCATTCCGATTATTATGATGATACATATCAAAGAAGATATAGAGATGGTGTCATGTAGCTTAGCTGTATAGTGACGCCTTGTTTCTTCGAATCCTTTTTGTGCTTTATATATACCCTTCATTTTAAAGAAATGATTTTTGCACTTGTAATAATATGCTTAATGGGTATTGCTTTTTAGTTTTAAAAGGTTGCTCCAAGAACTGATCTAATCAACTATCACAGTTGCTGAATTTTATGCAAAGCCCACATTTCAGGCTCAAGCAACTGAATTGGGGTGTGTCCATGAACATGATTCACTTTCAGCCAACAAACACTAAGTTTCAAAGTGTTCCCCAGTGGATTAATGCAGTGCTGAGAATCTGGATTTTTATGGGTAGCTAACCTGACTATGAATTGTGACTGCTTAGGAGGAAGGACTGTCTGGCACAATGTACCCACTTCCATGTAAAAACGAAGTCATTCACAAATTATTATGCACACAAGCCACCTAGTTTCATTTCCGTTTTTGTTTATTGTTCTCCCGAAGATTGGTGAGCGGATTAGTGAAAAGCAACTAATATATTCTCCCCATGTATACATAAAAAAATATGTGGTGATTAGAAAATGTTAATAAGTCAGTTAATCTCTCTTTACGGAAGAGCAGAGTTCCCTAATTGTTACACTGTATTCCTTAAGGATCCACAAATCAGGGTGTATGTGTTGGGAATGTACAGCTTACATGCAAGAGATTTACTATGCGAGGTAAGGCACACCATTCCATTGTACCAATTATTATTGTCTTCTGTCATGCAGGCATACAGAAAACAGTTTCATTATCCAAAATACATCATGATTACTTTTCCCTGGTATGTATCTGAAAAATGGTGGGTATCTGATGCACCATCGAGCAACTGCACTGTTGAAGAAAGGGAAAAGGCATTACATCATAGTCTGGCCGCTGCTTCATCTGAGTTACCGAAGGAATATGTTAAGTATCAAACACGACCCAACGATATGGTAAGAGACCTACGTCAAGAAAGTCAATTTTCTCACAAAGAACAAACCTCTAATGTAAAAGGAGTTGTAGTCTGGAAACCCATAAAATGACAGGTTCTGGCTGTAGAACATTAGTAGTACCTGCAACCAAACTATAATACCGCTGATGCTGCCACATTATATTTCTCGTACACCATGCAATATTGTGTAAACTGTTATGATTGGCAACTACGCCCTGGCTATAAATAGGTTTACCCATGGCTTTAGAAGGTATGTCAGTAATATACCCTCGGTGCTTATCAGTACCACACAAAGAAAGGCACACGTATTGTACAACGCAACAGTTGTTATTTGAAGCTAGTCTTACGGTTGCTGACAAATGCCAATTGCCACATTTGTTTTTACATAGCAGGTTCACCTCCTATTTTCCAAGTCGATTTTCAAATTCAGTTTTACGCTACGGTTCCCCTGTGCATGATTAGATGATGCTACGGCTCATGGATAATGAACACACACAAACAAAGACATGCGGTGAGTGGTGTGTGGCCAGTGCCAGCCAGGGACACGGCCTGCCAGGCAGTACCACCATAACCGAAGGGCATTGATCATCAGACCTCCTTTGTGGATGTGCCATTAATCCAGCAGACTGTGTACCTGGTCCAGCAGGCAATAGATACTCTTTTATGGGGTGTCTGGATTGCGAAACTACTGTGTAGAAACCTAGCTAACTGCAATAGAAGGCAGAGCAAAAATAGCAAATAGACCACACAGCTTCATACGAAAACAAATAACGAATTCGAATAGTTGAAGCTTAAAATGAAAAAATGACAGAGAATTATGAAAGTGCAAGATAAAATGTGCATTGTGTGTATTGTGTGTAATGTGGAAATGGAAACACAAAGTGGCAATTGCCATCATCGCCCAACATACACTTCCGATTGTTAGATAACTTACCTATTATTACTGTGCAAACTATAGTAACAAGCAAAATGCACTGGACTTCAAAATAACAGTAATAGTCAGCTAGCTGTACCACTTCATTTGAAGTGTGACAAAATATGAAGTAATAAAGTTGGTTATTTAATTATTTGCAGACACTATCGAAATTTAAAACCCTCTACAATGAAGCTGTAAAGAAAGACATCAACCTACAGAAAAATTCAAAGGAATATGCTGACTACATTTTCCCCTATACCTACCATTGCAATGAAGCAACTCTTGCATTGGCTTATGCCCTGACCAAAACTATTTCAGGTAAGTGCTTTGATTTTTATCTTACTGCAAACCTCGTGAAACATTTTAGATCTTACTGAGAATGACACATTGAACATTGAAGCGGCTAGGTTGGGCAATCTTCCTGAAGGAGAGAACTTTACAATGGCGAACTTCACCTATGAAAATTCAGTGGTTCTCTCAAGGATGTTTTATCATTTAGAGAACACAAAATTCCCAGGAATCAGTGTAAGAATTTTGGAGATTGTTGTAGTGCACAGGATAGTAGTAATGCTGTACATTCATAATAATGCTAGTTAATAGGTTCTTATAATTTTTGTGCCTATATTTTAGGGGGTGCCATAAGCGAAATGAAAGATTTTGAAGCCACTAAACCACACGTTAACTATTAGTGATTAGTGTGAGGATGATGTGCTTGAGTGCCGAGAGCGTTGCTACATTGGACCCAAGGGGTGTGTGTGTCCGTTGCCTTCGTTGAAGGCGGTGGCCCGCGTGATGTGCGATAGTCTTCAACCGAAGGAGAGAGAGAGAAATGACGAAACTGCCATTGCCGTACTTCCAGACCCTATAGATGTCTCTTGTGCCACCAAGGTCATCTATAGGGTCTGGAAGTACGGCAATGGCCGCCGCCATTATCATAAAACAATATGTTTTTTATTTTTTCTACAGGGAAATGAGGTTAAGTTTGATTATCAAGGAATTCGTTACATTGATCAAGTTATAATATATCAATACCTAAACAAAAACAGTGGTAAGTAATGTAAATATTAGCTCATACTGAGGAATGTTTCTTTTGTCACCCTCAAAGAATTTGAACGTGTTGAAGTTGGATCTATCATCGATATTTGGGGAAATAGTACCTTTGAGCCCTACAACAATAGTACATTTATATTTCCACGTAAGTGTACTCTGTGTGTCTACAAGTCCCAATGTGTATAGTATATAATTATGTGTGTGCACAGATGGTGATCCCATTGATGGAGTACCAATAGAAGAGGTTGTCAATGTGTCGGGGGTCCTGGCAGGGATCTATATTTTCCTTGCTGCTGGTGGACTTTTATTTGCTACCATTTGCCTCTTTTTTACAGTTTTATTCCGAAATAAAAGGTAGAAGTAAGAGATGGGAGATTTGTGTTGCTCAATAAAGCATTCTTTCCACTTAGTACCAGGCAAAAATGCACCAACACTGTCTAGATAGCTGTTTGTTCCTTACATTAATGCAGGTTGGTTCGTATATCCAGCCCCAACCTCAACTACATTATTGGAGTGGGGACCTTTTTTCTGTACCTCAACGTCATTACCCTTGTCATAGCTACCCACTAACAACCCTGATACTATCGTTATTTTCTGCAATGTAAGTTTTAGGATTTACTACTACGTAGGAGTCACTATTATATATAGCTAACATAACTGCAAATTGAACATGCTGACTAGCAAATTTGGCAATCGTGAAAACACTCCCACACATCTCCCTCTATACTGTGGTACGTTTGACGTAGGGCAGGTTGAATGTTATTCATAAAAGCCAAACAGTGTTATGTTGACAGAAATCCCAAAAAACAGGCTAGTGGTGAGTTATTGGGTACTATAATGTTGTAGAAATTGATATCGAGGTGTAAGTCAATATCGGGATGTGTTGTGCTCTGACTGGTTACAGCAGAGAAGGTTTCGTTGTTACTTGTACCACTAGTCTTAAAATTAAATCTGAGTTACAACATTTGCTCTGAGAATGGGGTTTGAGTGAGTGTTTTGATTTCACTGCCACTAGCAAGTGTAGTTACAAAAGGCATTGTTGGCAAACATGTTGAGAATTGAGTGTCGTTCTAGACTCGCGCAGAGCTAACTGTGCTGTCCAAAGGAACAATCCAACTATATGATGATTGCAAGATCATACTGTACTGTTAAGATGCATGGCTTATATACAGACAGAGAGAGCGGGCCTCTGGCTAAAGAACAAAGGTGCATTGATACAAAACAAAGAAGTTTTAAAGGAAGGCCAAAGAGAAAAGGACAGAAACAAAGGAACAATGATGAGGCTAGACATAGACAAAGAGCAGGCTTGTCATACACAAGGAGTAGGCTTGTTCACAGAACCAATGTGAAAAAATATAAATGTATTTTTACAAAACAATGGTGCATAGCAGTGCACAACTACCTAGTATCCAAACAACACACTAAAGTGTTCTTTTTCATCACTCCTCCTCACTTTAGGTGTGATGAGGTTCCACGACCCCGGCTTTTGATCTTAGCTTGCAAAACTGTTCACGACTCAGCCCTTTTGTGAACATGTTGGCTAACATTTCATTTGATGAGTTCGATGTTTCCATTCATTACTTGCTCGCGGATGAAGTCATATTTTATTGAGATATGCTTTGCTCGTCCATGAAATTGTGGATTTTTAGTCATGCATAATTATAGCCGATTGATTGTCCTCAAAGATAGTTGTTGAAGTTTCTGGTGGACTACTCAGTTCAGTTGTTAATTGTCTTAGCCAAATCGCTTCTTGGGCTGCACTGGAGAGAGCCATATATTCAGCTTCAGCAGTAGACAATGCAACGCATGATTGCTTCTTGCTTCTCCGTGTCACAGCTCCACCGCTTATTTTAAAAAGGTAGCCTGAAGTTGATTTTCGATCATCTAAGTCACCGGTCCAGTCTGCATCTGAGTAGCCAATGCATTCTTTTGAACTCTCGTTTGTATACATTATTCCAAACTGTACCCTTCTAATACCGCAAAACCCATTTTAACGCAGTCCAGTGTTGTTGGGTTGGATGTGAAGAAAATTTTGCTAATGCGCTGACTGAGTAAGTAATGTCTGCATGGTCTTGAGCTTACTGACAAATACAACAGGCAGCCAGTAATAGATTGATACTGTTGCTGGTTCTCACTCTCCTCTCTCTCTCAGTTGCCTTTAAAAGTTTTTGGCTTGCATCAGCTGGAGTACTCACTGGTTTAGAATCATTCATGCGACAATTTTTAAGGAGATTTTCCGTGTAGGTGGGCTGTGGCAAATATTTCCAAATATTTTCTGGTCTTGCAGTATTTGCATCCCCAGAAAATAGTGTAGCTTGCCAATGTCCTTTATATCAAATTTTTGAGACAGGGTTTCTTTCACCCTTTTGATTCTGTCCTCACATAGACCCGCCAAAACAATGTCATCAACATAGACCCCAATAAAGAATGTTTCTCCTCTTGCATCAGCGTATATACATGGATCACTAGTCGACTGCACAGAACCCACTTCTTTAAGCTGTTTGTCGAGAGCGGAATTCCAACAGCGAGGAGATTGTTTCAGCCCATATATGCTCTTTCAAAGCTTACACACTAGGTGTTCTTCTCCTGTACTAACGAAACCCTTTGGTTGTTGTATGTACACCTCCTCCTCGAGCTCTCCATTCAAGAAAGCATCAACTTGATGCAGCTGTAGACCAAATTGAACCGACAAAGCTATTAGGGCTCGGAGTGATTCCATTCTGACGACTGGACAAAAACATTTCGTCATAGTCTGTCAATGTACTCTTGGGCAACTAATCTTGCTTTGTAGCGTTCAACTGATCCATCTACCCAAGGAACGATCGAAACTGTCTTCATTTTAGACATTGCACTTGTCAACTCAGTCAGTGTTCAGCGACCACTGGGCCCATAACCTGTTGAGAATTGACTCGCGCAGAGCTAAAGGAACAATCCAACGATATGATGATTGCAAGATCATACTGTACTGTTAAGATGCATGGCTTATATACAGACAGAGAGAGTGGGCCTCTGGCTAAAGAACAAGGGTGTATTGATACAAAACAAAGAAGTTTTAAAGGAAGACCAAAGAGAAAAGACAGAAACAAAGGAACAATGATGAGGCTAGACATAGACAAAGAGCAGGCTTGTCTAGACATGCACAATGAGTAGGCTTGTTCACAGAACCAATGTAATTGGTTACAAAACAATGGTGCATAGCAGTGCACAACTACCTAGTGTCCAATATAACACAGTAAAGTGTTCTAACCAAGCGAGCAGTTAAATATTTCGCGCGTGTTTTAGAATAACGTACAACATTACAGAATTTGCAGTGCCCATTTCACTGAGCCCGTCCCAGCTAACACAGTACATGTGCTGCAGGGGATTGTGCAAAAGTCATTGCTATGGGTGATTCCTAGAGTAATTCACATTTTTTATGAACATGTATAACTACAGTAGAACCTCGTAAAAGGAAACTTCAAATGAAGGAAACTAGATAGTACACGTTCACTTTTCATTCAAATTTAACCTCCCTATGAAGAAAAAAGCACATGGTCCGAACTTGTATATTATTAGGAGGTTACACTTTAAAAAGCAAAGAAATGTGCTAGTGGCAAGTTACGTGGCAGGCAATGATAATGTACTTTAAAAAAGCTAGCAAGACAGAACGATAAACAAAAAGGTTCAGAACAGCTTGGTGTATGTTAAATCCTCAAAAACGGAAAGCTTCACCTTTTATGAACCAAAAATGTAAGGATTCTTGGCACTAATCCGCTATAGGGTGTGGGAAATGTTTGAACAAAAAGAACTTTCATTGTGTGTCATAGATCAATCCATGGCTGATGTCTCTGGGTTACTCCCTCTGTTATGGGACCATCATCATCAAGATGATTCGGATTTGGGTCATATTCAACCGACCATTAGGATTCAAGGCAGTAAGTTACTATGCAGTGCATGTTCAACCTAAAGCCGTTTCCCACGCCTTTTCCGCCTAGGTGTATACTAACGTATGATTGTTGTGCATGTTGGACAGTTGAAGAAGTTTTAAAAAGATAAGGGGAAAACGTAAATCAGAGGCTATATAGCATGCAAGAGTGTTGCAAAACTACTTACGTACCTTAGATTTTTCACAAGTACTTAATTTTGCGTTGCTGACCCTCAGATTTAAATAATAATTATGATGCGAGTTTGGATAACAGTTGCAGTGCATGATCTGGTAAAATGCACACCACTCACGAAATGTATAGTATAAGTAGCTTTGAGTTCAGTAATACTTAGTACAAGTGGAAAAATCATTTCTTTAAAATGAAGGGGATATAGGAATGGCTTGAAGCACCAAAAAAGAAGAAACAAGGGGTCATTACACAGCAAAGATGCACAAAGCTACATCACACCATCCCTATATCTTTGTTTGATATTAAACAAAGAATATAGGGATGGTGTCATGTAGCTTTGTGCATCCTTGCTGTCCCTTACCTCTTCCTTTTTGGTGCTTCAAGCCATCCCTATATCCCCTTCATTTTGAAGAAACGATTTTTCCACTAGTTTTACCTATTTTTAGCAGCTTATGACAACACTGCATTCTATTGTTACGCCACTCTGATGTTTTGACCATAGACAAACTCTAACTGTTAAAAGCAGTATAGACAATGGGCTGCTAGTGCCTGAAACAGGGGCTAGACACCGCATTCACCTCATATATTGTTTTCAACAAGGATGTAATTATGGTTGTGGTTTCATGGGCAGACGCAGGCTACAACTGGGGACAAAACAATGAAGGCCCATTTGAGCGTCCCGCCAAGTTGTTCCTCGTGCAAATCAACAGCAAGCTAGCCAGTTGGAAATGTGCACACTTACTTACAGAAGGCAATGGAGGCTGAGAGTTCCTCTGCAGGTGTGTCAACTCGCCTGGATATACGCGCGCACAGCGCATTGGACAACGCCCCTGCCTGGCGCATGCGCGCGGCTCACTGATGCGAGTTAGCAGCAATTGAGTGAAACAGCTCCACGATCTACCGTAGTGAATTGCGGCAAGAAAGAAACGATCGCTTGATGTCCGTGCACACCTCCGGCGAAATTGGAGACAAAAATCAGCGCTTCAACTGGTACTGCTAAGGAGATATAATATAGCGATGACACGAAAATCGTGAAATCGCGAATTAGCGCATTCTCGTGTGGACGACTGAAGATGAGTATGAGGTCTTGGGAACATGTATAGGTAGATATCCGTATACTATTGCAAGTGCGGGTTTAAAGAAGGACACGAATATCGTGAAATCGCGTATGAGCAGCTAATTCTTCCGTAGACGACTGAAGGTGCGTATGAGGTCTTTGGAAACATGTATAGGTGCGTATTGGCCCGTAGACTATTGCTAGTGTGTTTTGAAGGCCTAGGGAGCCATTCTCACCGTCGTTTTGTACGCGGGTCGTGTGAGATTTCACCCATGCCATCCCTATTAGAGAGTCTACCAACTCTCTAATAGGGATGACAAGGTCCCTCAGCATTATGTCCCTATATTTCAAATTGGGTTCCGACCATCAATCTAAAGCCAAACATATAAAGCGAAACTTTGCATGCAACTTTTGTCTGATGGAAGTAGCATAGGCCATTTTTACTTGTAATTTCGACTGCCCTAGTCCTATGGCTACCACCTAGTATCACTAAGTATGGTAGTACTTAGTAAAATAGGGATGGGCATGGTACCTAGCATCATAGATGTATGGGGCTATGATAGGGAGTTTGTTAAAAAACATACTATAGTAATGAAATTTTGTAACAATGTAGATATCTATCACCCGAAGAGACTGGTCATACCTCAAAACGTATATTGCACACCATGCCATAAATGCAGCAAAGGAGACAAATTAAAATGTGTGTAGTGTTATAGGGATGCCATAAAAAGTAAGGAGACAAGACAGGGATGACCTAGTGAACGTGATGCAGTGGTACGATTACATCTTCAAACTTTACTTGTTTTTGTCATTCTTGCAACACATTGCGTATAATAATAATTATGCTCTTTCCCCATTTGTATAATAACGATTATCTCACCTTACTATAGTGGGACACTCTAATCTGGACACAATTTTTTAAGATACTGCAGAAGATTCCATAGAACAAAGAAATGTTGTTGTTGGAAAACCTTTACATAACTAGAGTAACTCTTGGCCCAAACTTGGAATATATTTTTTGCCAATACCCTCACCTAGAGGTTGGCAATGTAGTATATTTTGCGCGAACTTTATTAACCCTCGGCGTGCATCCGCAGCGAGGTTTATAGTGCTTGGTTTGTATGTCTGTCTGTCTGTTACCATGTTTTCTGCAACTACGTGCAACGAGAAAACAAAACAGCAATACCAACCGGTTCATTGCTACACTGGCTTCTTTTTTAAAAGGTGATTTTCGTATATAACTGCTGTGTTCAAAAGTTATGGCGTGAAAAGCAAGTGAACAAGCCAATATTACCTCGACTGCGTCCACTCGCTCTGTGTATCTTGAAGGCACAAGAAGTGACAACGAAGGGCATGTATCGCCTCCTGCATGCTATCTACTACTGTAGCTAGCCTGTGCCCAACTCTCCGCAAGCTACTAGCTGAAAGAGTAAAGCCATAAAACGCCCAGCCCAACAATTAGTGGTACCGCGCCGTGCATGGGAATTTCGCCGAGAGTTTGCACTTTACTTCCTTTCATTAGAAAGTGAATGCAGTATATAGCCCTAGGCTAAATCATGATGCACACTGCATGATACACTAGGAGCTATAAGCCAATGTTGTGAAGGTCAGTGGATCGTATAGTGCGAGAGAATTCCATATATATATAATTATATTACACAATATTATTGATGCTGATGACATAACTAGCCTGAACACAGATAAAATGGAGCAGCTGACCAGCTGAACTAATGATTATGTCATGGGGAAAGTGTTAACAATTTGTTTACAATTTTTGGCAAGCGAAAGGCTTGGTAAAAAAATTCAGGGAAGGTGACTGTACAGTTGTGGTTTGCTATTATTTGACTTTTTTGCAGAGAATTGTTTAAAGACTACCTGATGATCCTATTTGTACTGAGTCTGGCCATCATTGATGTAATCATACTGCTACCATACACTGTGACTGAGGCTGTGAATGATAACCTTGGGGTTAAACTGACCTCAAACCGTGAACTGCCCTATAAGACCTTTGGTGTAATTATTATGCTGATCAATTTTTCTGATCCTTTCAAGTATTTCAATTTTGTTCAGGCTAGGGCTGAGTATCACAAGTACTTTCACTATACCTGTGAATCTGAGGACAAGTTATTCTCTATGTAATTCTCTTTGGATATAAGGGTCTCTGCAAGTCCTTGCTCTGCTCCTGGCCTTCCGTACTCGCAATGTGAAGGTGAAAGGTCTGAATGACTCCTTGTACATTGCTGCCTCTGTTTATGTCACAAGTATTGTCTTGACTGTCATCATTGTCTCCACCTACACTCTGATGGGACTATGTCAATGCCTACCCAGCTTTGGTGGGAATGGGGTTACTGCTGGGAACCACAATGATCATCGGACTTGTCTCATACCAAAGGTAAGTAGTAACATTTGCTACCTGTCATAAGTCTTGTATCTACAGATGGTGGGATTGTACAAGGATCCCAAGGGAGAGACCATCACCACACTGGGAACGATTGGTCTTAAGGACAAGGTGGTGTCAGACGATAATGAGTTAACTGACGAACTACAGATGCTTCGTCAAAAAGTTATGACACTTGAAAATGACCTCAAGAAAAATGTGTGTGTTATTAATTATACAGCTCAAAAATTTTATCATGTATGCTAACTGCAGGTGCCTGCATGTGGAAATGTTGTGGATTGTATGTGTGCCCGGAAATGAAAGGTTGAACAAACCAAGAAAGAAAACACCCTTTAAAAAAAAGAAATTATTGTAACTGACTTTATGTCGCTAGGACATTCATTATTGGTAGCTATTATAGTACAAAAGGACACTAGATGTGTGTGTGCGTGTATAGACCCGCAATGGCATGTAACACGAGCACGTATAGAACATTACTGTATGTGCCGTGCCAGAAACGTAATCCAAACTACTAAGTAGGTTTCCTTCGCTAGCCAATTAGAACAAGGAGGTGGAAGTGGGCTGTAGGAGCACATCCTGTTACAAAACGCAGATACCGTCATTTACAAAATTCTGTTACCTTTCAAGTACGCCCAACAGCAATCTAGGTAAGTGAGTGGATCCTTGTAATTGTGTGTTTCACGCTGTAACTTTTTAAACACAGTGTTATGAAAAATCAAGCCAGCTGAATCAGTTTTGTATGCTTTTGGATGGCTTTCTCATGGTTGTATAGGGGCGCACAGGCATGCGCAGAGAGTATTATAACTAACTAACTATGGGTATGGCTGCCGCAGGGTTCAAATTATTAAAAAGGAATGCTATGGCGCTAGTGACAGGTTTCTGTGCCATAGCACAGTTTGCCCTTAGTACTTTGTTGTATTGCCAGACTTTTAGCCTTGCTGCTGAGTGCCCTGGTAGCTAGTGGTTTTAGAGATGCCTATAGAACAATGTCTCCGGTTCGATCCCACTAGTTTATCCTGTGCACAGTTTGCAATACAACACAATACAAGGCAATGAATAGCAAACCGCAAATTCTGTGCTACATTGCAGTGTTTGACATGTGCGCTTTGCCTTGTGTGCTACACCTCCTGGATCCTAATAATTGGGATGGTTGGAATTTTTGGTTGTATAGTCAATACCCCGATATGCTCCTACATGGTCTGCTCCTACACTTTGAGAGAAAGGTTAAGGTTTCCCTTCGCCTTGTGTTTGGTGTGACTTTTAGCACAGCCCGTTGAGTTCGCTACCCCGGTGAGTATAGATTAATTTCATGGCTTTAGAAGAATATACCCGAGAGGTGCTTTATCTGTACCACTGTGCAATGTAAGGATTCAAGCCAGTGTGTTGTAGGTGGTGAAGTAGCGGGTACATGTTGGAACACATCAAATGGCTTTGATAAGTCCCAGGAAAAAGATAATTATGTCAAACACATCTGAACATACACTGAATGGTGAGTTTTAAAAGCAGAGTGGTAAGAGTTAATTTCCCTTGTATAACTGAGTTGGTTGGTATCTTGCATGTGGTTCTCCACGCAAGGTTTTGTACACTTTCTAGAACTTGCTTACAATGGGTAGAAGTGAAATAGGGTCTGTACACCTGTTGGCTTTGCAATGGGCACAATGTATGATCTTTTCCATGCCATTGGGATCGCTACTACTTGATCATAGGAGGAGTTGAATAGGTGTTTTAGAGCAGGAGCAATCGCTCTGCTGTAAACATGAAAGTATGGCCCGTTTTATTAACTCTTATCATGGTATATACATCAGTTTAAACAACTCTTTTGTCAAAGGACCAAGGATAATAAAGTTATAGACATATTCACCATTACAAGTGTTTATTGCTGAGGCTGTCTTTTTTGTTGTTTATGAACTTGTACAGCACTAATAATGGTTACATATGTCCACAAAGGCTTTACAATTCTTGGTATTAGGATTAACTTGTTAGAACACTTTATTCATAAGGTTTGGCCTGTGGATAATTTGTTGTTTACAAATAAATATGCTCTTGCATGACCAGTCATAAATTCCTATCTCTGTGCAGTTTCTTCATAGCAATCTTACCTGTTTTGAGATACACTTGTCAAACTGATGAACGATAACGAAAATAACTTATTTTAATCATAATGGATCAGACTGATTCGTCAGAAGTTGAAGGTATCCACACTGTAAGTAACGTTTCAACTGGTTTCCTGTTAGCAGATAGCTAGCTGGTTTTTCTGAAAAATCGCGTACTATGGCGAAAGTTGGTCTTTGGGTTTACATATATAGCTAGATACGGGCCCTTAGACTATTGCTAGGTTATTTTGAAGGCATAGCAATCATCATTCTCGCCAAGTTTGTGACATTTTGTACGTGGATCACGTCCGTGCCCATCATCCCTATGTAGAGCATCTTAACCGACCCTCTAAATTACTATAAACAACAATAAAAATGCTGTATATTACAGTGCAGCTATAGTGATTATATTGTACTGATGCCTAAAAATTTTAAAGCCAATGACAGCTACACAGTGCAAAAGTTGTAACTAGAATTTAACACACAATAATTGTGACATAGCACCTTATGGGAACACATTTCTGCCCTCTTTTTATTCTTCCAGTTTGCAAACATCAGACTTTAGTGATATTATCATGAAGTCCTGTAGTAGCTACTACTCTCTTGAAAGTGTGTGATTATCATGTGCCAGATGTCAGCTTTTGTCACACTATATACTACGGAATGTGGGTGGTGCAGTATTATACTTGCTATATTATTATAGATCATGATGCTGTATTTTTAGTGCAGCCATAGCGAACTGATGCCTAAAATTAAAGCCAATGAGATAGCAATAGTGGTGATTGAACTTTAAATTTACAGACCATTGTTATGACGTATAACCTCATTAATTTAGAGCCCTCCTGTTACCCTTCCAGTTTGCAAAATGGAAACATCATTTTCTGTATTTTTGAAGTGGTGGTTGTACTACTCTCTTGAAGTGTGAGATACTGTAATCATTGTGCCAGATGTCAGCTTTTGTATCATCATGGAATGTTAGTCGGTGCAGTATAAACTTGCTATATATACGCATAGCTACAATGATAGCTGCACACTCTGAATGCCTAGCTATAACTATAACTACCTATCCAGCATTACACATGACGTTATTAACCCTCGGCGCGCATGCGCAGCGAGGGTTACGGTAGTTAACCCTCGGCGCGCATGCGCAGCGAGGGTTACAGTACTTGGGTCTGTCTGTGTGTGTGTGTGTCTGTCTGTTACTCTCAATCTAACTTCTCGGGTGTTTGTTCGTCTCACAAAGGATACGACCTACTTAACGGGCAATGAAGGTCAGAACTTTCGAACGGGTTTCTCTGAAACTGCTCCGTTGCAAAGCTAGACCGCGAAAAAGCCAATATGCAAATACACAACGGACGGGACGGCTTACCAGGGTCTGAACGATCCGCGTGCTCTGCGTACCTCGGAGGCACCATAAGATGCAACGTAGGGCGTGTATCGCCTCTCGCATGCTATCTAGTAGTGTGGTTAGCCCGCGTCAGACTCTGCGCGAGCTGGGAAGAGACCACGACAGCTAAAACTAAACCCAGCCCATCAATATTAGTGGTACGGCGCATGCGTTTACTTACGCGTGCGCGTCACAGTGCGCCGAGGGTTTGCACTTCAGTGCTTTTCATTGGGTTTGTGTCTGTCTGTTACTCGTCATCTCACTTCTCGAGTGTTCGTTCGTCTCACAAAGGATACGACCTACTGAACGGGCAATGAAGGTCAGAAAATATGTGGGGTTTTCTCTGAAAATGCTCCGTTGCAAAGCTAGAGCGCGAAAAAGCTAATATGCAACTGACGGGATGGCTTACCGCGGTCGTGCTCTGCGTACTTCGGAGGCACCAGAAGATGCAACGCAGGACGTGTATCGCTTCTCGCATGCTATCTAGTTGTGTGGTTAGCCCGCGTCAGACTCTGCGCGAGCTGGCAAGAGACCACGAGTAACAGCTAAAACTAAACCCAGCCCATCAATTAGTGGTATGGCGCATGCGTTTACTTACGCGTGCGCGTCACAGTGCGCCGAGGGTTTGCACTTCAGTGCTTTTCATTTATCCATGTACAAGTTTTGGTAAAAATGTTTGTTCAGCTAAACCTATAGGTAGTAGCTACCTCTGCCTCTGAATATAGCACCTTTTTCGCACTCATAATACAGTTCATTATCACTAGACTAGAGTGTACATAGCTACCAAGTGAAATCCAGTCTCTGGTTGAGTCAAACTAGTACTAGCGCTTGTGGAGCCCACACATTGTGACGGGAACGACTGCGCAGCGGATATCCATTCCCAAACTTATTATATTGCGCAAGCGCAGTCACACGCACAAACATCACGTTTTATGTCATAAGCACATTCGACAGGTAGCTAATACCATCTAAGGTGGGTGTTCACCAGATACTCGAAGCTCTCCGACTCTGTGATAAACCTCTGTCTTGGTTTTCAGTTGTGACTGCATTGTGTGAAGTCTAAAATGTCTACATTTGCTCAACTAACCAGTTCTACAATGCTGC